AATGATTTGACCTGTAAAATGTCAGGATTTTGTGAAAAATGTCCTCCTAAAGCCCAAGGTGGCATCTTTAACCCTTTGATGCACAAGATATGCAAACCCCTTCTAATGCATAACATGGGTCAAAAATTACCCTTATTCATTTCCTATGTTACTTCATGCATGGCTGATCATTTTATTTCATCATCTAATAATTCAAGTAGTTATTAAATATCTTGTTTTACCACAATTTTTTTTAATTTTTACTTTCTTACTGTATATACAAACATACAGTAGTTTTTGTATTTTTACATTAATTTTACACACATGGCTCATGTGTATTCACTATGGAATTTGATATAAACTTTTGATATTTGTAAATGTTTGCAATTACAAACATATTTACTGCAGACAACTATTCACCCGCCACACATTTCACAACTGACACAATTCACAAATATATATATATATATATATATATATATTAGATATCTTGTGAAAGATAACTGTACATAACATTTGAACATTAAGTTAAGGTTACCTTGACCTTGACATCCATTGTGAGAAAGAAAAATATGTCAAATATAATTAGCTAGCTAGCTCATTCTATTCTAGCTAGGTAACATTAGCCAGGTCAACAAAATAAATCTCAAAACAGAACAGCATATACTAGATCAGCTGATTGATGGGCATTGAAAATATTATTGTGCTTCTGATTTTCTTTATCCAGTGTTTGTATGGCTGGTACCAGTCATTCCAGATTTACAGCTAAACTGGTCATAGAGATGCTGCATGAAGAACAGGATGAGGAAGATAAAGAGGCAATTCTTGGTCTTTATTCTGTGTCTGAAATCGTTATACTACTATAATACTGCTGACTTAGACCATGTGCTCAGTCTGGAGTAGTGGGTGTGTCTTGGAATCCAGCTCTCCTTGATGAAGAAGACTCATTTGATGACTCGTCTGATGGATCCTCTGAAGAGGAAACTCAGACCCAGTCCAATGATTGAGTGAAAAAAGGTTCAGTAAAAAGGGGTCTTAGTGGAACAAGCATCCCCCACTCAGTGCAGAACAAGAATCAGATTATTTATATACAATGATTAGTAGAGTCCCTATGTCTTTATTATTTAGAAATGTAACCAATCATTATGTATCAAATTGTTACAAATTACCCTCAGATTGATTCCTCCTGAAGTGTTTCTCTCATCTCAGCTGCTTACAGTGGATATGCTATGCTACTATGTAGATAAACTAACTCAACAGAAGCGGCGACATGGTGTGAGTGTGGAGATGGATGCCTACCCCCCCCCCCTTTCAAGACTGATGAGCATAGTATTGCAACTTCCTAAAATGTTTTAACTTTTAAATGTGTGTGGGGCTATAAAGATGTAACTGGAGACAGAGAACTGGAAAGAAAGAAAGAAAAGTAAAAAAAAAACTGCATAAATGAAATGCTTTCAGAATTGCAGTACTAGAGAAACGAATATGTGAAGTAATTTATGATTTAGTTAATTTCTGCCTAATACAGTAAAATAAATCTCAATACAATATTGAATTGCATAGCTTGTGCTTTTACTTTTGCATCGTGTCATATCGCATTGTTCTCATGATCTCAACAAAATCAAAACAGCAAATCCAAAGAAGTCCAAGAAAATCTAAATAAAAGACTCCAAGATGATCCAGCGTGGGTGAAGAGAGGTTCGGAGGAGACATCTCAGTGCAAGTGTACTGGGAGCAGGAGAACGGAACAGTACACTCAGGAAGACAGCCAGAGAGCTGGAGCGCAAAACCTAAGGCTGGCGACGGGGCAGCACCACAGAGTAAGGGTTTTGATGGACCTTCATAGTGACTGTAAGCTGCTGTAGCTCAACGGAGTCAGAGGTTTGCTGCAGCACAGGAGTCAAAGTCAATGGCAGATAAAGTGGGACAGAACTTGGTTTTAACTCAGCAGAGTCAGAAGGTTGCTCAGCAGTGGCAGGACAGGGCAGCTTCTCAGCAGAGTCAGGGGGTTGATGTAGCTCAGCAACTGTTGACTGGACACAAGGAGCAGGAGTCAGCAGGACGCCAACTGGACACGATGAGCAGGACTTAGCTAGACCACTGACTGGACATGAGGAGCAGCAGTCGGCTGGACCGCCATGTAGAACCAGGTGGGACAAGTGGTACCTCTGTGGCACTAATTACCATTGTCTCCAGGGTGGTAGCCAGCACAGTCTCTGTGGAGCTAACCAGCTGAATCTCTGGTGAGCTGGTAGCAAAGTCTCTGGGGAGCTAGCTAGCTTAGTACATTTACATTTACTCATTTGGCAGATGCTTTAATCCAAAGTGACTTACATGTGAGGAACAACATAAAAGCATCGGTAAAGTAAGAGATCTGGATAGTTGGTCAGCTACATCTCTGGAATGCCAGGCAGTGAGACCTCCGCAGCACTGGACGATGGCGATGATGAAGTGGTGGGTGTGTAGGGTGCAGGGTGACTAGCAGAACAAGGTGCAGGCAGGTTATCCAGAAAGCAGGCAGGCAGTAATGCAGATTTGACAATGCTTGCTGGCTGTTGCTCGCAGGCCGGAGGCTAGTTGTCTGGGTGCTCTTTGGCGCCAAGGAGGACCGAGGACCAACAAAAAGCATACCAGAGAGCTGGATGTCCATGGGTCTCCAGCCAGGTCTGGCACTGGAACTGATGGACAGGATGGCTGAAGTGCAGACTGGTTGCTTGCAGGTTGGGATGAAGCCTCCAGGACGTGATCAGGACTGGCTGGTTGTTGGCTCATGACTCGTTGACTAGTTGATTGGAGTGAAGGCAGATGGCATATGGCATGGAAGCTAGCAGGCTCATAGTCAGGGGTGTTCAGGAATCTCTTAGCCCACCCAGTTAACTTTCCACAGCCAAAGCCTGGAAGAAACCTTCTGGTGTGCCTCATAGTCCAGGCCGCTTGCGGGGACTCAAAACAAATGGCATTCTTCCAACTGTTAGCCAAACCAGGTCATAAAGCAAATACCCAAGTTCAACAAAAAAGGTGCCTGGTAGCTCCATGTTAATGGTTGGATCGTACTGTTAATCTTTCACCAAGCGACACGGGAATAATGGATGAGGACCCAAACGCAGACACTAAGGCCGAGTAGCTTCAATTTACAGATTTTATTGTAGTGATTGTAATTTACAGAAAACATGAGTCAGGCAATTCTGGGAATTAACAATCCACAGAACAAGAAAAAAAACAGAAATACAAAAAGAATGAAATACAAAAGGATGTCTTAACACAACAGAATAATTCAGGGAACAGGCAGGGACACTTGACAACATACAAAAAAACGATCCGATAAGAACAAAGAGAAAAAACAAATCCAAATACTCAAGAGGCAGGTAACAAAACGAGGTACAAGTGTTATGGTGCGTTCCATTTACGTTGGAGGTCGGAAGTCGTAAGTCAAACCCAAGTTGACCACATTCCAATCCAAAAGATTTAAGTCGGAAAACCATACACCAAAAATATCCTCACTTAGGTCTAAACCTAAATCAGACCTAACAAATACAGAAGTAGGCCTATACAGACACATTCCCAAATATATATTCTCTGTCCTAGCTTCTTTGACTCTATTTTCCTATTTCTGTCCCATTGCCCCCAGTAAATGACTTTGATGGTGCAGACCTGAACTTTTGACCTTTCCCCAGGCCTTTTTCTATGAAGAATTTACTGCTTGTTGAACCAGCCGCTCTCCATCACTGACCCATCACGAATCAGCCCAGGGCAGAAACAACACATTACTGTGTTTATTTCACTCTTATGTGGAAGAAACGGATGAAATAATCCACTGTTAAAATCAAAGTCATTTAGAAAATGCTACAGAAACATACAAACAAAAATATAGGAAAACTTTTTTGCGTTATTAATGAGCCACCACCTAACTCTGAGTGAGTTGTTGGCATAGACTGGTGTTGTATAGCTAAATACTTGGAAGCATCCTGCACACGATATGATTTGCTTTATTGATGTCTGTCGTGTTGCATAATCGCCGGATAGACTGTCCTGTTATGAAGAAACAGTTTAATCTGCTCCCACACATTTCCGCGTCAGCGCTCATCCGATTAAGGGTGCACATAACGCACACAGAGAACCAGAATATTAAACCGATTAAGCCAGGTAGAATAGTCTAATTATGTAGGATTATGCTGTATACTCTGCAGAGTTTATAAATTGATTAGTCTACAAGGAATGAAATCAGAGAATCCCTAATAAAAACGGTGGTTACATCCATCTATTGTAAATTATGCATCAGATTTTTTTTGTTAATTGTTCACCTTAAGGCATTAATTATTAACTTAATATTAAATTCAATATTACTTTAGTTACCCCTGCAAGGGCAATTTTATGCAGCAGCTCACCGCCTAGATCAACAGATAAGAAATGAAAGAAAAACACTAATGTATGATGGTTAGAGGCTAATACATTAGCCTATAATATGTTATTTTAGTCTAAATCAATTTTCCAAGGGGATTTCTCAATTACTCAACTGAATCATAAAACAGAGAAGTGAACAGGTGTTTTCCATGTACCTACTCAGCTGAAGGCGCACAGAGATGCGCCGCTCCTGCCTCTTCTGCTTCCACACGCCTTGTGTTGCAGGTTGTTTTGGTACATCATAGTTTTGTTAGCAAGATGTATTCTTTGTTTCACAAATGTATTCCCATTTATTCTACAAATGTAAAGATTATTCTTTTAATGTGTTTTTGACATTGAATTGCCAGGTCCAGCGTCCAGGTGCCATAAAGGACCAGATAGGCCAGTCGTCTATTTATTAGACAGAGGCTACAAATAATGTTTTCTGAAGCCACCGTGAAAAAAAAACAATTAAAATAATTCTAGTATAACAAATTTGACATTTGTTTGGCGGCTACATCTTACAAACGACGCCACCTGTTTTCAGCGCTTATTTCGCCTTTCTGATTCCGTCCAATGGAAATGATCGGCTGGTCTGGAGGCGGAGAAAGAGGGAGAGAAGTTGGAGGAGAGAGTGAGAGACAGATCCGAGGAGACAGTGAGCTGTAGGTTGAGTGGAAGTCGGTGGAGTCACATATTAAATCACAGGCTTCATCTGAGGACTTACTTGACGTCCAGCTTTGCGTTGTTTTGTGTGTGTGTGTTGTTTTTTTCGCCTCTTTTGCCGGTTTATAGGATATGTTGCTGCATATTTTTGACGTGCAGCCACAGGTTGACAGATTTAATCCAGTCACCATGGATTATTCCTCTTCATCTCGAGTCGACTGTCACTGACGAGATCGAAATGGGCACCATTGAGAGATCTCTGATGATTGAGAAAGAGACAAACTGATCATATCAAGTGTGCGGAGACGCAGGCAACATCTGTGTGAAGCGACGCAAAATTTCGGGAGACAACCGAGGACCTGTGGAAGGAGCTATATGCAAGGAGGCGAAGCGAAAAGATGACGGGATGGCCGTGACAACATGAAAAAGAAAAAGTGTGGTGCTCGATTTTCATCCAGCCAGTGATTCAACACAACTAACCTGGGGGACAGGGACTGAGCGAGAAGAGGTAGGAGGTAGGTGGAGGAACAGACAGGGAGGAGGGGGCCGTGAAGGTGTCTGGTTATATCACACTGAAAGTAGGTTATTGTTTTGGATCAATCAAATGCAAACAAATGCAGGCAACTTATGATTAACTGAGGCACACACACACAGTCACAGTACTTCCCCTGCTATCATACAGACTGATTGAATTATTATCCTTTTGTCTGAGTATGATCTCATCCCATCCATGGTGTAAAGGAGAGGATCTACTCAATCCTCCAGCAATGTAGCACAGATGACATTTTGTGGCATAGATTGCTGGAAGCATTGTGGGATGTGAGAGAAGCAGAGGACACAGATAGTGAGAGACAGCGCTGAGAGGGGCTGACTGGGCAACTGACTCAAATGTGACTCAAGGAATAGCATATTCCCCAATTATCGGCACTTTTCTTCACTCTGCCGCCCCTCTTTGTCACACATCTTCATATTTTGGAGTTCTGCCTTTTTCCTCATTTCTTAACCATTATCCCTCACAAAGCTTTACCACTCCTCCGCCAGCGTCTTTCTCTCTGTCTGTGCTGTCTTCATCACTATGTGTGATATGTTCATCATACTGTGTCTTACAGTTCTTCTCTTTTTTTGTGTTTGTCTATAGACAGGTGCGTGGCCACAGCAGTGACCATGGAGCCTCCCCCCACTCTGAGCTTGGCTCTGCTCGGAGGGAGCGAGGATGAGGACCAGCGCTTCCTCCTTCCCCTGGGCAGTATATCCCATCCCTCCACCACTGGCAACCAGCCAGGATCAAACCACTCCAACCACATGGGAGGATCAAGCCTCGACCGTCTAAATGGCAGCACCCCGTCACCATCCCCTGCCACGCCCAACTTGCCTCCAGCATCGCTCCCCAAATTGCCCCTGTCATCCTCTGGAACCCAGCCTCTGCCCCCACCCATCCCCAATGCCCTGCACCCCACCAGCACCCCGCTCTCCTCCTGCCTGGGTTCGCAGCACAGCCTGAGTGGGGATTCCCCGGTCTACAACGCCCTCTTTTACTCCTCCCACTCGCCCTCTATGGAGCGGGAGAGGGACAGGGAGCGTGACAGGGAGAGGGGTTGCAAACACAGACAGGCCAGCCCTCTGGTTCACCGTAGGGACAGTAACCCCTTCACAGAGATCGCCATGAGCTCCTGTAAGTACACAGGTGGGGTCATGAAGCCCCTGAGCCGCCTCAGCGCCTCCCGCAGAAACCTCATTGAATCAGACAGCAGCAGCGAAACCAAAGAGGGTGGAGTTTCAGCTGTTGCCGGGGCGACGGCTGCTGGGGGGCATGACCGACAGCGAGAAGCCCCTCCTACCTCCTTGGTGGCCCAGTGCTCTACCAATCAACCTCTAATTCAGAGCCCCCCTGAGATTGTGATTTCATCCAAAGAAGACTCGCCGTACCCCAGAGCCGGGTATGATATCACGGACTCCACATCCAACCAGATGTCGATCTACCACCAGAACCACACTCTGGTGGAGAGCAGGCGGGCACAGCCAGGGAGGGGAAGCAGGCAGGGAGGGGTTGGGGTGGTGGGCACTGGGGCCAGGGGCAGCACCTCCAAGGCCTCCAAACGGAAGAACCAAAACATTGGCTATAAACTGGGGCATCGCAGGGCGCTTTTCGAGAAGAGAAAGAGGCTAAGTGACTATGCCCTCATCTTTGGAATGTTTGGCATTGTGGTCATGGTGATTGAGACGGAGCTGTCGTGGGGCGTGTACACCAAGGTGAGGGGACAGACCAACCCGTTCTCACTCCCAAGTTGTAACATATGAATGCATGGTCAAGAGTGAAATGCAGTTCTGGCTCCATCCCCATTCATTTAGATATGGGCCTGGTCTTGTTAGTCCGAAATAACTGCCCGGAGCCGTTATCAAGATAGCTGCTGAGTGGCAGGACATAAGGACTTTGATGGATCCGGTTGTTTCCCATGTAAAACAAAAAGTCAACATTAAATATTTTTATTTAAGTTACTTAAGTTATGTAAGTTAAGTAAGTGACACAGTTACTCAACTTACGTAAGGTAAGTTACGTAACAGAGGTACGTAACTTGAAACCATGATCTTTTCCTAAACGTAACCAAATAGTTTTGGTGCCTAAACCTAACCAAACTGCGACGTTTGACAACATTAACAATGTGCCGTTTCACAATGTTAAAAAGTTATTTTATTTTGAAAGTCTAAGTGGATGTTGCATATTTGCTGTTGCTTACTTGCGCCCTAAACATTGAAAAACAACCCAGCGAGGGTACCCAGAGCGTTAAAAAGATACACCAAGGGGTCTTGGCCAAGCTTCAGTATGTGACGAGTTGACGGTAAGAATGTGTTGGACAGACCATGATACTTAAAGGGCCACCACTGATTTCACACATGAAGATCAGTTTACTAGTCGTGGTTAGCACGGCTACAGCTGTACAATGTGTTCTATGGCTCTGGCAGAGCTCTGTGTCAAGTGTGAGAAAATAACCCTGATGATGTCATAGCAATGTCATCGGGGTTATCCTTGCTTGTCTTACAAACTGAGGGTGCAGAGTTGTAAAGACATGGTCATTAACAGGCAGGGAGGGTCTAATGAAATACATCATCAAGTTGCATTATGGGAAGTGTAGGATCTACCTTAGGGACTAAATGTCAGGATATCTCTTCCTCTGTGGTTACAGTTTTGCCTCAAATTGAAGAGCTATAATATATTGGTAGATTGCCCCTTTTAACATAGCCTTAGCACATTAAAGGTGTCCAAAAAAGTCAGTAACCATCACACCAGACTGTCATGGTGGCTGTGGCAATGTGCACTGGTGCATAGCTGAAAACTCTTTGATTAACTTCAGATCACACCAGCCAGATCCAAACCAGGGACGTTAAATGGTACACATCTTCAATCCCCACGTCACCAGGACACCCAAACTTTGGCTGTTTTGGATGGGTCATTGGCCAGATCATTAGAGTCAGCTTTCACCAATTAATCACCAAATTCATGATTGGTACACCCCACTCAGTCTGACCAACACTGTGCCCATGTTGTTGGAAGGTTGTGTACTGTAATGACCAAGCTTGACAGTTGCTGCTTCTGGGTGATGTAATACAATGATGCAGAGGACATGGGGGGGGCAGATTATCAGTAGGAGGCCAGGATCTCATTTGTCTGTGTAATGGGGAGTGTAATAAGCTGAATTGGCCCCTGGCTGCTATTGTCTGTTTATTTTGGTTGTTTGTGTGTGTGTGTGTGTGTGTGTGTGTGTGTGTGTGTGTGTGTGTGTGTGTGTGTGTGTGTGTGTGTGTGTGTGTGTGTGTGTGTGCCATGGGGTCCCAGTGAGGTTTGGAGCATGTTGTGCTCACCTTCCCGATGCGGAGATACTTCTGTCCTTGTTCAAGCCCTTGTTTTAATATGACATGTCACACAGCGCTGGTTTTCTTTAGTTAATAAGGTGGAAACATTACTTCCACTTATGCAGCTTGTCATATGGATCACTGATGACGTGAAATGGGATCATGTGAGAGCACATATTTACAGGTAGCCTTTTAAAACAAGCCAGCTGGGTGTGTTTCTCATCTCTGCCTCCCTCCTCTTATGTTTCTGTAGTCTGCCTGTTCTGTTTGGCTGGCTGTATCTCTGTTTCTTTTTCTCTTTGCCTCTGTCTCCCATTCATTACTTTATGAAAAACCCTCCTTTAAAGGTTATGTCTTTTTATTAATGAAAATTCATGGATTGAATTTCTCTCTTTCTAAATCCCTCCTTGTCTCTTTTCTTCCTTTCTGTCGACCTTTTCTCCTTCCTGAAGGAGACGGCCGACACTTTTTGTGCTCTCTTTCTTTGTCTGTCTCTTTTCTATTTCAACTCCGTGCCTGTCTGATTCATTTCCCCCTCACTTTCGCTCTCCCTCTGCTCCCGTGCTCTTCCAGTGGGCGTCAAACTAGGGGAGTGTGATCGGAAGATTGAAGCAGTTCTGCAAGAAATGAAAGGCTGTAGAAGGAAAGAATAAAGGAAAGGTGATAATGAAAAGCCTGATTTAGGTCTTACCAATACTGCGCTCATCTGAATCAGACTGCATTGTCTAATGTTAAGATGGACGGCTGTGAGTTCAAACAAGGCGGCTACTGTGTTTGCTAGTGCTCTTACTAAACTGGTTAATCTATTTCTATTTAGATATCTAGTTGAGAACAGGAAGTCAGAGTTGAGGTATATTGAGAATAGTATGTACAACATCTTTGCACCTCATAGTCTCAGGGTTGTACATTTTTAAAAAGAGGTTGAATCCAGAGAGTTAAGTATGCTTTAGCAAAGCTTGATCGAAATTAATTTTTTAATGCGGAAGTTAAACTGCCAAGTTATATATATTTTTTCAGTTTTTATGGTTGCAGGTTTGGTTTGACTCCAACAGCTACTGGAGTTCCATCAGACAGTTCAAGCCCTCACTTAGATAATTGAGGTGGAAAGAAGCCCGCTGGTTGTTGTGAAAAATGGATCATGAGGATGAAAGAGAGAACTGAAAGGGAGACAGATGGGAGGACGGCAGAAAGAGAAGTGGAGAGGTTCGTGCAGTGCTTTAAAGCAGTCTAAGGGGGTGGAAGCCTTGAATGATTTCTTCTATTGATTATTGATCATCATACACCCACACATACACTGTCCACCCCAGCACACACGTGTCGTACAAACTCACACCTTGGAAATGGATGCTGCCTTTCAGAGTTGCAAGTTTTTGTGCTGTGTAGTGACTGCTTGTGGGGAAAAGTGATAGGTACAAAGAATTTGATATATTCACACATTCAAACACATATTGTACATGCAACGGCAGTATACATGACATTTTACACATGCATGACGTTTACAGCTATATACAAACACACGTGCTATATCCTGCTAACAGCGCCGTAAGACTTTATGTAAGACACCTGCTCTATCTTGATCCCAAAAATAGAGATGAAGAATAAGAATGGAACTAAACAGGGTTGGTTGGATGGCGTGTGTGTTAGGAAGGATAAGTGGGGAGAGGTTAACAGAGGAGGACATGGTGTTCGTGACTGTGGGTATAGTGAGTAAGCATATGTATATTCATGTGCAGAAACAGATTTCAAACCCTGTCAGCACAAATTGTGGTTAAAGCTGAGATTTCCATTCATTGTATTATAGCCTCTATCTTTCTGTCAAATTTACATCCACAAAATCAGTAAGATAAGTTTTTATGCAGATGTTCTTGCGTATGTATATTCAGTGGTAGTGGGGAAAAAATTTTACTTAAGTACAATTTTGAAGATACTCCACTACATTTATTTGAAATAGGTACAAGTTACTTTTCAGATTAAGATTTTACAAAAATTATATATCCAATGCAATATAAAGTAGTTTCATTAGCTTCAATTCAACCAGTCACAACAAAACCTACACTTTGATGCATCAATATTAACAACCTAATGAGGTAATATATTGTACAACAACAACAACAACTTTGACTTTGATACTTTAAGTACGTTTTGCTTAAAATACCTATGCACATTTACTTAAATGAAGGACAGAGTATTTTTGTGGACATTTTACTTAATTAAATCATCTGAATACTTCTTCCACCATTGATACTCAGTGCTCTAGGCAGTGGCAGTGAATTCCTATACTGTAAATGTCCAATCACATTTGTTGAGCCAGATTTTGCAGAGAGAGTATTATATGATTAAATAATTCATGAACATGAAATAATTGAATTTGCTCTCAGGCAGAAGTGTGAGGTTTCCTACAAAAAAGCGTCCAAGACAAAAGCAAAACAGAGCCTCTCAAATTGCCACCATAACTTATCTTGAGACACTGAGAAATGTTGAGCCTCTGTACATCTGTGTGAAGTTCTTTTTACCTCTACATTTCATGATCCTGGATACATTTCCTTATCCAGGACCTTGACACTTCAGATGTTAACAGAAACATGAGGACAGTTTGTCTGAAAAACACTTTTATGAGCTTCTATTATTGAGTTTATTAGGAACAGGTTAAAAGGCAGTGCTCCTGTTCTGGCATGTGTCTCTATCTGAGAATAACTGAGGCCCTCGGACACCTAGGACTTCAGCATGTGGCCTGTCACTGTCAGATCTATAGATCAGTTCAAGGCCCATGTGGCTCCTCGACGGCCCCGGCTCCATGGCACGTTTCATGCTTGCAATGGAACATAGCTATTCTGAGGGAATGCACAGCTGCTGTCGACTTCACTTGTCACATTGCCAATACACACCCTTGACACCTCGACATACAGATGGGTGTTGTGTGAGAGGCAGTAGGACGGGGGATCATGAGTATCTACCCATTTACTCACATTTCTAACCAGAAGCATCAACGATTTCACAGCAATGCTCACACCCAGTCTCCCTTCCCTTCCTACTTTCCTTTCTTACTTACTTCCATCCTTCTCACTTATTAGTAGTAAACACTCCCCCTGGTGAGTCTTAAATACTTTTCCCCAAGGGGGTCATTGCCATCTCATCAGGCTTACAACATCTCCCACATTTGCCCCGCACTACCTCCGTCTCTCCCTCCCAGCCCTTGCTCGCCTACCTATGACATTTCTCGCCGACATTTATGGGGAGACCTTTCCAGACCTTTTTTTCTGTAAGGCCACTTACAGTGGCTGCGTGCTGCTCTTCAGACAGCACATGAGGACCATCAGGGAATTAAACTCACCAACTGCCACCATATTCTCTAAAGGTGCTATCAGCCATCTCAGCACTTCTCCGCCACTGCCCCCCCCACC